CTTTCTGTCCCTGGGTCCAGGAAGTTACGTGTGGAGAAAGCTTGGGGTCCAAGGGACACACTCCACTCCTGGCTCTTCTTTTTTGATGGTAGTGAGATCCCCCTCCTGCTTCTGAGATGACTCATTTTAAACCCAAGTTAGAGTTCCAAGTTTTCACAATTACAATGAACTGTTAACATCCACAGCTGAATCATGTCATCTTATCAGTAGATTCTCTCACTTCTTACCCAGACCTAGCAGGAAAAGGAGCTATTTAGTGAAAGTTACAAAGACAAGACTAGAAGACACACATTAACTAATTCACTACACCACAGGCCACCTTTTTTCACATCTAATCATTGTCCTTTTCATACATAATGCATTAACTTTTCCCATCACAATCATTTTAACTGAGCATACCCATAAAAGCTTATGTCAGTCAGTCGCTTCATGCCTTTTTTGTCTCCCATTTTTTATTACCAATTTCTAATTTGTCCATCTCTTGTCTACCTAGACCTCTGAGGAAACAAACATATTCCTTGATGTAAAGAATCTTCTGTTCTGTTAGAACTTTAGGCATCTGCATTCATAAGCAAAGTCCAGTCACAGCAAGCCATGGAAGTTACAACAGTTCACATTAGCTCAGGCATCTCTTTCTTCTTTTAGTTGGGTTCTGGTCACATCAACCGTAGCCACCGTCACTAGGTCAAATGGGTACCAGTCACAAGCTTGGAAGTCCACACATTCCTCCCTGTCAGATAATCTACCCCCTTCACTTACTCTCTCAGTCCTACCCCAGGACTCCATACAACTCCCTAAATTTCAGACCACCCAGCCCTTCCTTTTCTTTCTCTCAACTCATTTCTTCATTGTTGCATTCTCCCCACTTCCACTCATCAGATGGATCCAGGTAGCCACCAGTGAGCATGCCAGGCTGTCCTTTAACTGTTAGTCCTAGAATGGGGTTTTCTCTGATGGACACAGACTTTTCCTGCCTCAATTCATCCAGTAGCAAACTGCTTGCTTGAAATTCCAAATGTCAGTCATTTATTCTTTCAGCAGGGCATTCCTTTAAACATAATTTTTTATTCTCTCAGCAGTTCTGAGTGGGGCTCAGGTATCCACCTAAGTTCCTTACTCTATACACAGGTTACTAGCTTAAATTGAAGCTTGTTTCTTTCAGGCAGTTTGTAACTTTCCATTTAGCATATCCAATCCATGTGTATAGACTTTCATGTTGTTGAAAAAAGGTGCTTGTAGAATTCAGTCGTTGATCTTACAAACTTCTATCATAGTGATTTCCATTTTTTCTGTTACAAAGGTCATATTTTCCAACTGCTGATCCTTCCTCTTTGTTGCTAACCTTTGCATTCCAATCACCAATAATTATTAATGAATCTTCATTGTATGTTTGATTATTTCAGACTGAAGAATTCAGTTACTGTTGTTAAGTGTCGTCATATCACTTCCTACTCAGTGACCTGCTCTGGTATTTCTGAGGAGTCCCTAGTGGGTTTAAACTGGTGAACTGGAAACCCCATTCAGAGCTGGAATCAACTCAAAGGCACTTAACAAGAACAGTGCCCTGTAGCTTAAGCACTGGACTGCTGACAACCAAGTTAGTGGCTCAAGCCCACCAGTCACTCTTCGAAAACCCTATACAGTGTTGGTATGAGTTGGAGCCAACTCCACAGCACACAACAGCAATGACTAATGATGTTGACTGTCTTTTTATGTGCTTATTGGCCATTTGTTATATTTCTTTCTTGGGAGCCCAGGTGGCTCTGTAGGGCAAGCACTGGACTGCTGACTACAGGGTCAGCAGTTCAAGCCCACCGGCTATTTTACAGGAGAAAGGTAAGACTTTCTGTTCCCACAAATAGTCTTGGAAACCCTCTATAGGGTTGCTATGAGTTGAAACCGACTTAATAAACAACATTGAAGCTAAACATTTTAAATATAAGTATCACTTGACATATACTGTTGTTGTTGGTAAGTTAGCAAGTTGGTTCTGACTCATAGCAACCCTGTAGAGGGTTTCTACAGAGCGACAGGTGGATTTGAACCTACAACCCTGTGGTTAACTTTTACCTACTTAAGTTCGTTGCTTTAAAAAAAAAAAAATCATTGCTTGTTGTTGTTGTTGTTAGGTGCCATTGAGTCGGTACTAACTCATAGCAACCCTATGTACAACAGAATGAAACACTGCCCAGTCCTGGGCCATCCTCACAATTGTTGCCATGCTTGAGCCCATTGATGCTGTCACTTTGCCAATGCATCTCACTGGATTGGCAACGTGGATCCGCTGGATCAGTGCTTATAAGTATGAATTTTTAATAATGTACACTTTTTAAAATGACATTTATGTATAGTATTTAATTGGTGAGCTAAAGGTATTTTCATAATTAGCAACATCTTTTACCAAAGAACATCAGGTAAGGCTAAGTTATTAAAAGTTAAATTATGCTTATGCTATTATTTTTAAGGATTTGTTAAATAGTTGAATTCTTAGTTAAAATTAAGGTTTTGTTTTGTTTTTTCTTTTCATGATTGGGTGAAAGTTAACAGCAGATTATCAGTTTTACATCGGCAGTTCACACACATGTAATCTTGTTTCTTGTTTCCATTCTTCTCCATAAAATTCAGTTTTATATCAAAGTACATTCACTTGTGGTTTCCCTCTTCTCACCATTGTTGAAAATCTACTATACATGTTCATATAAGTCATCATAATTTTATAGTAAAAGTCAGAATAGAATGTTAAAAATGTATTAATGTTGTTAGTATTTAAAATAATGTACTTGACATTTTTCAGGACAAAGAATTGTTCTCAAGATTTAAAAAAGACTGTGGATCAGCTAACTATTGGTTTAGAGAATTCAGTCTCCATATTCAGGACTGTTTTGAACCCATCAACTGTAATGGCGGTATGAAAAATGTTCATAAAACATGAAGCTAACAATTTTGACTTTTTCTGTGTTAACATTTTCCCCTCTATCAGGTTTGCTTTAATTATTGATTTCTTAAAAGTTTAAAGCTGATGGTGTTAAATTCATTCTAGTTACTTGAATCCCTTGCTTTGTTCTAACCTTTGGTTGAATAATTCTCTTTCCTCCAAACTTTGACCAACTCTGTCAGAAAGTTCTTGATATTTATTAGTTATTGAATTAATTAGAATTTATGGTGAGCCCACGTGTGCAGAGTAGAGCTTCATCAGAGGGTTTTCAAGGCTTTGGGAAGCAGCTCTCCCTGAGTTTAATTACTGCTTTTGAGCCTAGTGAGTGGGTCCAGATGGCATAGAAACATAACTGAAGTGTACATACTTATACATTCTAACATGACTTTCCAGTTCTTTTCATGGAGGCCAAAAGGCCTTACTCACAATAACAATATTGGTGGAATGTTGAATTTTACTACTCCTGATAACTTTAAATAATGTGTTGTTTTAATTTAGGCTTAGAATTACAACAAACAAAGTCTTTTTTTTTTAAATAAAGAATGTGATTAGTGGGCTAAAGGAGAGGAGAGCACTTAGCTTGCCAAATTATTATCTTTTTTTTCTTAATAACTATAATTCTTGAATTACGAAAGTATGTTTATTGTTGACAAGATAAATTGTTCAAGATAGTTTTAGGTTGAGAATAATAACAAGGTATAAATGGTAGCTCTGGTAGCATAGTGGTTACTAATCGGGCTGTGAACTGCAAGGTCAGCAGTTCAAAACTACCAGCTGTTCCATGGGAGAAAGATGAGGCTTTTTGCTCCCATAAAGATTTACAGCCTCGGAAACCCTGTACAGGGTTGCTATGGGTCGGAACCCACTCAATGGCACTTAACAACAACATTTGTGGTGGTTATGTGCTGTGGAATCAGTTCCAACTCATAGTGACCCTATATAGGGTTTTTGAGGCTGTAAATTTCAGGGGAACAGAAAGCTGCATCTTTCTTCTTTGGAGTGACTGATAGATTCGAACTGCTGACCTTCAGTTAGCAGCTCAGCTCGTAATCCACTATGCCACTAGAGTTCCTTACAAGGTATAATACCATTTTAAAATATCTTTATAAAAATGTCTTTTATCTCTGGGCAAAAGTGTTATTTTTTTGTTGCTTGCTTTCAGGGTCTGTAATGGGTCTGTGTTGCATAGCTTGATGTTTTTGCAATTATGAATCTTTATATTGTGTATGTTTCTTTCCCCTTCTTAGGAGACTAAAATTGCAGAAGAAATTGATGAAGCATTGAAGATAGCAGGTTATAATTGTGAGCAATTAAGTATTACGATAAAAGTAAGCATTTTGAGTAATTAAATTTTATAATGAAAATATAGTGACTTTTTTTTTACGTATTTTTTAAATGTTCTTTTGGGTATGTTATTACTGAAGTTAGAGCTTAGCACTGAGTTGTGATAACGAAATATGTAAAAAAAAAAAAAAAGGAATTATTTTTTGTGTCCTCACAGAACTGATTTTGCAGCATTATTGTGCTAACAACTGAATGAAATTTGAACTCTTATTAAGGAATCATGATTTCTAGTAGTTGCTGTGAGTTTCAGAAGCATTGTAGATCTTTTCAACATTTTCTCAATATTTAGCTATATTTGTTTTTTCTCCACCCAAGCTACGCCCCCCAAAAGAGTCTCATTTGTTGGCAAAAAAGATCCTCTGAAGTACTAAACAATACCCATTGTACAATCAGAGAGTTGAAAAGGTTCTAGCTTTTTTGCAGGGAAGGACAGAACATTTGTGATTAGCTAAAAGTAAAAGCAAAAATCAGGTTTCTTGGGAAATGATAAAAATAACCAGATAGAAGAGTCACAAAAAAGAAAATATGGAGAGAAGAGGGGCAAAAAGAATGTCACCTGTGATGAGAATGTATAAGAAAAGTAGGCGCAGATGTAGGTGAGAAAACAGAAAAACACCTCTGAAAAGGGCTGGTGAGGCAAACAGAGAACGCCGATGCTGTCTAATATAATAACACTAGCCACACATGCTTAAAACTTAATGAATTAAAATTACAAAACTAAAAACTTTGGTTCCACATTCATGCTAGGAACATTTCAAGTGCCCAGCAGCCATCCATGGCTAGTGGCTATTGTATTAGGCAGTATGGAGGGAAGTTTTATTATCTCAGCATAAATGTGTAAATAGCTGTAGACTAGTTTGGGGATGTAGGGTAAGCACTGGACTGCTAATTGCAAGGTTCATAGTTAAAACCTACCAGCCACTCCTTGGGAACCTATATAGGTTTGCTGTGAGTCGGAACCAATTCGACGGCACTTTACAATCTCTTGTATTGGTATTCTGAAAAGTCTAAAAGGTATCTTTATTTTCAAAATTATATAGAACAATACAACTTTTACAAAATACAAATATCAAATTAAGTCTTCACATTGTTTTCTAGATGCTAGAACACATGCAGAATCAAACAAAAGCAGGGACAGACAGTCTGATAGAGGTTCTTGAGAAACAGTTTGATCAACTTTTTACTTCTCTCAACTCCAGGTAATAATTTGAAAAAGTTTACAGAACTTCAAAATAGAAAATGAAGTTTTTGATGTTAACTTATCACGTTATATCTGATTAAATTGAAGTAGTGGGTAACTTTTGAACAGATTTAGATAATGAATGGTCTCGCAAAGTGATTTTATAACTTCAAAATAAAAAATAATTAGTACATTTAAAATGTTTTCTGGTTGTTTGCCTTCTGGCCCCAATTATTGTTTTGTTAGGTGCCATCGAGTCAGTAATGACTCATAGCGACCAACCTCACAGTGTTGCTACGCTTGAGCCCAGTGCTGCTGCCACCATGCCAGTCCATTTCGTTGGGGGAGTCTTTCTTTTTGTCACTGATCCTGCACTTTACCAAGCATGATGTCCTTCTCCAAGGACTAATCCCTCCTCATAATATGTCTAAAGTGTGAGAGACAAAGGCTGACCACCCTAGTTTTTAAGGAGCATTCTGACTATACTTCTTCCAACACAGAATTTATTTGTTCTTTTGGCTATACATGGTACTTTTAATATTCTCCTCCAGAACCATAAATCTTCTACGGTCTTCTTTATTCTTTCTCCAACTTTGGTGTGCTTATGAGGTTATTGAAAATACCATGGCTTGGGTCAGATACACCATTTACTCCTCACACTGATATCTTTGCTCTTGAACACTTTAAAAAGATATTATGCAGCAGATGTGGCCCCAATGCTGACTGCTAAAGTTTTGACTTAATGAGCACAGAAAAGTACTTTCAGCATTTGAATCCTTGTTGTGGTACTAATTTGAATCCTAGTAGAAGCCTTTCTAGTGGTTATCACTTAACATATAATGCCATGCAATTATATATATCACTTTTTCAAAAGATATTTCATACATAGGATTTTAATAAATTGATCACATGAGAAAAGCAAAGTATATGTTCTTTCCATTTTACATTTCAAGAATCAGGCCCTTAAAAATTATGACATAGCCCAGGTAGCATGTCTGGTAGTAGAATTGTCCATTGAACTCTCAGATCAGTGTTTTAAAAAAATCTTATTAGGATGCCTAGAACATAGGGTCAATGCACTATGCATGAATTGGTTGATATACTTTATTCTTGATTGGTATGTCAAATTTATTCTTTAACATTTATGAAAGAGATCATGTGCGTGAGTTTTAAGGATCCATAGTATTAAAGTGACCATTTCCCCACTTAAAGAAATTACTTTGAGAGATTATAAATAGAATTACAAAAATGTTTTAGAATGCTTCTTAACCTTCAAAGCCTCTCATATTCCTGTCATTCTTTTTCTTTTTTGAGTGTGAATTTATTTTAGGGATGTAATGAAAAGACCTGTCTGTATAGCCACATTTGTTAATAAAATCAGTGAATAAGTTAGATTTGAAATGATAGAACATCAGCCAATTCTTTTTGGTATAAGTGTCTCTCTGCATTCCTTCCATCTTCTTTTGATGTTGTCAGTGTTATTTAATCATTTTCTTTTTTTAATAGTTTTATTGTGAATTATGTGATAGTTTACATGGGAGAACATTAGTTTTACATTCATCCTGTCGTATATCGTTTCATTGCCATGGTTACAGTCCCCTCCATGCATCATCAGCCAGCCAAAGGTTATACACTACAAGCCTGCCCTCGGTTCTCAGCGCACAGCCCCTCTCCCTTTCTGTGTCCAAAGTCCCCAACTGCTCCATCTCTCCACGTCATCATCT